CTAAACAACAATAACAACAACAACAAAAAACCCAGGGTAACATATAGGTTTGTTGGGCAATACTTCAGGTAATGGAGTTAATAAATCCATATTTGTTACAGCCATAAATGTATCTAATTCTATTGCATGGTAGTAAGAAATGAAAGAATGTAACGGATAAAGCAGTGGAACTGAATTTTATGAAGCACGTTTTTACCATGTTTCACACATCCTTATGAGTCCACTTTTCCCATCCTCTGGGTTGAATGGGACTCTTCGCGGTGGGGTAAGTGGCCTATCGAAGTTGTCTGACCCACCCCTCCCCGCCGAAGTTGCGCCTCCCATTCAGCGGCTTTCCGCCGTGTGTAATTATGTGTTGATGCCGTCCATCCCATCTTCTGTCTGCTGAAGTAAATTCAAACCAACTTTTTATTTCTAGAGGTACTTTTAAAATGGCTTACACGACCACAGGCGGGACCAAGAAGAAGGTCTGCTACTACTACGACGGTATGGGACATCCTGAGCGTGTGAATGAGCAGCCCAAACTGAGCCATCTGGCAGGCTAACGCTAGCCAGCTAGTCAGTGTAGCTGCTGGTGAATGTATACTGTTTTGACACTAGCAAGCTAACGAGTAGGCGCTAATGACCATCGTTTGAAAGGTCTCCGCGGTGCAAAGTGTGTTAACTGTTATGAGTAAAAGTTAAAAAAAAATCACCTTACTTAAACCGAGCCAGAGAAAAGAGGAGGGCTTCGGTTAAATTGATGTTGAGAATTAGCGACACAAGCACTCATTGTCACGATTGTATAACTTATAGTTGCAGACGTAGATCGGGCTTTGTGCACCGCGTTACCTCTGTTAAATCAAAATGATTAGGAACTGATGAGTCGTCGTCAGAGTTACATTCGTAAAAATAATAAAGCAAAATGTGCCACTGCTACACAATTAAGTGCTCAGGCCTTATTAGAGCGTATCACCGTGTTGTCTAACATCACACTCTCATAAGAGAAACCACTTATTTGTATTCCTCGTGTACAAGGAACATAGTTACAGTATCTTGTCAGAGGTTTGCAGAGACTTGCAGTAAAAACTAACTTTGTTCACACATAGCCCTGTATTCAGTTTACATGTACTAGAACTAGAATGAGTTTTCATCTGAATATTTAACAGTCAAATGCTGTGTTATTGTTGTTTTTACGTTGCTTGTTCTTGCACCCATGTCCTGGGAAGGTGGCTACAGCCCCATGAACTTTATACCTTTTAATAATATTGGCAACTGAGATCAGCAGTACATTCATAGTCTGAAGGAGGTGTAGTGAGCTATTGTAGGATAACTGCATGTGCAGGTAAAATTGAAGTAAATATCACTGTTTGACCTGCACAATCTTGTGTTCTACTTCTTGGTAAGCATCCATAGTTTTTCAGTTACATTAAAAATGCTTGAATTATACTTATGGTATTACACCGTGAATGATGTTGCTGTTGTTCCCCGCTGTTGTTGTTGTTGTTGTTTTGAGAAAAACTCGGTTTTCCCTTTGCTTTTCTGTTACTTGCTGTTCTAGCATTATGTTTGTGTCATGCTAGTTGCTAAGTTAGCAGCCACAGAATACCTCAAAGATGTAAAACAGTTAATACCTTAACATATGGGGGTTTCATTTGGTCTTTTTGTTTGTGGTCAGGATTAGAGCAGGAACAGCCAAGAATTAAGAAGGGGGGGACACAGTACACAATTGGCAGGTTGTCAATTTTGATGAAAAGTACAAAATGTGCTGTTTTTGTAGAATGTGTAAATAAGTGTAAAATCTCTTTTGTTGCTCAGACAGAACCTGAAAAGCATCCATTTTCATTTTCATTCGCAGCTTAAATTAATAATTATTATCGGATGGAAATGTGTTTCTCATCTTGTTCCTTTTGTCTTTGCAGGTGACATAGGAAATTATTACTATGGACAGGGGCACCCCATGAAACCACATCGTATACGGATGACCCACAACTTACTTCTGAACTATGGACTGTACAGGAAGATGGAGGTCTATGTATGTTTTCCAAGCATGTGACACTAAGCATACCATAGGTTCTGGCCTTCCTTGTTGTAGTTTCCAACCAGCTTGTATGTCTTGTGTTTCAGAGGCCACACAAAGCCACTGCAGACGAGATGACAAAATATCACAGTGATGACTACATCAAGTTCCTCCGATCCATACGACCAGACAACATGTCAGAGTTCAGCAAACAGATGCAGAGGTGTAAGTCATTGTGTCCTCTTTGGGACATTACAGAATTTTGTGTACTATTCCAAGTACGGAATACAAGGAGCTCCTCTGCCCTTCTGTTTCCATTCATACTGCTCAAACAAAATTTTGAACACCTTCCTGTTTTTTGGTTTCCTATTTATTTATGTATTTATTTACTCTGCAGTCAATGTTGGGGAGGACTGTCCAGTATTCGATGGCTTGTTTGAGTTCTGCCAACTGTCTGCTGGTGGTTCAGCTGGTAAGTCGTGCTAATGATGAATCAGAAGCTAAGCGGTCATATAAAAGGTCTTGATAAGTCAGTTGAGTCAAGCAATCTGAATATTTATGTTAAAGATATACTGTGACACAGTTTTATTCATTCTGTTGCAACTCTGGAGGTGTTAAATAGTCTGTAGTAGGGTTGTCAAAAAATAGATACTCAGATCCTAACTGACACTAAAACTGACGATTGGATTAGTTACTCATTTATAGCAGTATCAGTACCCACAGTACTGTCTTTGCCTCTGCTAGTTGACACACTACTTCCCACAGAACCACAACAGACAAGCAGGAACATGCACCACGTGATGACATTCACAACACTCACAATATTTTGTGTGAAATATCAGGAAGTCATTGAGCTCTTGTTTCAGCAACATTAGACCTATCTGTAACAACAGTCCTGCCTATCTGTAACATTAATAGACACTGCCAATTTAACAGAATAAGACAATTATTTGTATCTAAAAAGTCTTGTGGTTCTCAGTCATTTCTACATGACTGTCTTTGGAATAAGAGGTCGGGATTGAATCCCCTACAAAAATGAATCCTAATCTTGTCTTGTGTAGCTTTGTGAATCACCTTTGTAATCCTGAGGATTTGGTGGGACTCCTGAAGTTCCCTCACTAAACCCCAAACCCTGCTTTGTGGTACAAGTTACAAGCACTGTGTTTGTTGACAAGTCACCAACCAGAGTAGAATGAAACATGATCTGTATAGTTAGCACCAACCATTTTTATAAATAGTCCTCTATAAAAGAACAGACAGAAAGCTGTAATTGCTCATGTAGGACCTCATACCTGTCAGTCAAATCCTTGAGAAGTCAGTGCAGTGGTCATTAGACTGAGGCAGCAAATTCTTTTTATTGTCACCTGTTCCCGGAGAGCACAGTTACAGGAACAAGTTCTTGGCTTTCAGTCGTCCAGCTGTTTCAGTGCCAGCCTTGACTAAACATTTTTCCGGTTATGACAACAAAGTTAGACTAAGTGACTTATTGATTAACTCATCAGATATATATCAGTTTCTTTACAAACCGCATAATCAAACATGTTTCCTGTTGTGTACAGCTGGCTCAGTGAAGCTGAACCGACAGCAGACAGACATTGCAGTGAATTGGGCAGGAGGACTCCACCATGCAAAGAAATCGGAGGCCTCAGGGTTCTGTTACGTCAATGACATTGTGCTGGCCATCCTGGAGCTGCTCAAGTGAGAATATTTCCCGCTTTGTTTCCCATCTACATATAAAATTTCATTAAATGAAAGCAGGTGAAAGACCCATTTCTCACAGCATTGTTTCTATGCAGTGTTTGTACTCATCCGAGCTCTGTCTGTGGCCCTCTTTATCAGGTACCACCAGAGGGTGCTGTACATCGACATAGACATCCACCATGGAGATGGAGTGGAGGAGGCCTTCTACACAACAGACAGAGTTATGACTGTGTCCTTCCATAAATATGGGGAGTACTTCCCTGGAACTGGTGACCTTCGGGTGAGCCTTACACTCTTCCTTCAGCTGGTTACTAAGAAGTCATAATTTCTTAATTGAAAACAGCAAAACTCTGTATGATGATATCATAGGATAGTTTTGCATTTGTGTGAGTATTTATTTTTTGTTTTTGTTCATGGAAAGATATAAGGGCTTTGTTAATTTGGTGCAGCTAACACATGCATTTGTACACTGCTGAGGAGTCTATACTTGGAGATTATTCAGTATGCACTTTTTTGTCTTTTTTACCTTTAGGATATTGGAGCTGGAAAAGGCAAATATTACGCTGTCAACTTCCCAATGCGGGATGGCATAGATGACGAGTCATATGAGCAAATCTTCAAGCCTGTGAGTTCCACAAACGCTTGTTTTCCACTGCAAATATAACTGACCCTTTAAAAGTCACAGCACTTCGTTTGTTCGCTCTTCCCAAATGGTCTAAAAGTCTGATCCAGAAGGAAATGATTAAATAGTAATATATATATATAACTTAGGGATGTCCGCAACTAGTTGCCCAGCTGACTACTCGTTGCTGTCGTCACTAGTCAGTACCAGACTTGCTAGTCTAATTGTTATACTTGTTAAAATTTTAATTGATGCCCAATGCTGCCATCTGCCACCAGGTGGCAGATTGTTGTTGGGAAACGCCATGAATCTGTCAATCTAGACCAGTGTTAGGCAACTCCAGGCCTCAAGTGCCAGTGTCCTACAGGTTTTAGATATCACCCTGGATCACACCTGAATCACACTACCAGGCCTCTAGAGAACTTCAAGACATTTTGAGGAGGTATTTTAGCCATTTAAATTAGCTGTGTTGGATCAAGGACACATCCAAAACCTGCAGTACACCGGCCTTTGAGGCCTGGAGTTGCCTACCCCTGATCTAGGCTAACATTATTAGAATGAGATCGCAGATACAGCTGGACAAAATTAGCTTTCTCTGACAGGATGCAATAGGGTGATGAGTTAGATCATCTGGGACGACTTAAGAGTAGAGTCAACGCTCCTCCATATTTAAAGGAGATGGCTAAGGCTGTCGCCTCCAGGGTAAGGTGTTCCAACCGGGCGTTTATCTGGGACATGCTTGAGAGATTACGTGTCTGGGAATGGCTAAACGTTTCCTGGATAAGCTGGTGGAGGTGGTGAGAGGGAGGTCTGGGCTTCCCTGCTGCTTCCCCCACGACCCAACTTTAGATTGTCTTAGTTTTGTTTCTTAGTTTTAGACTAGTCGGGCAGTCTAATTTTTTTTCCCACAACTAGTCGACTAGGAAATTGATCACCAGGAACATCTCTAATATAATTAATAATTAAATATATTGCTGGGGGGAAAAAACAACAGATAAAATAATTGTATTTTCAAAGGCAAACCAATAGAGAATTATCATGTTGTCTTTTAGCTCACTGTTCTGATTTTAATTGTAGCTACAGCAGGCAATTCAAATCTAAAGTACTGTAGTCACATAGGAGACAGATAGCTACTCTTGTTTTTTTTCATTGATGCTTGCAGCTGGCACTCGGTAACATTTATAGGTGTAAGTATTTTCTATTCTTCTTTTCAGATGCACAATTTGTGTATCTAGTGTGAATCTATTGAAACAGCGTGCCAGCAGAAGCATTACAGTGCAATAGTAGTGACATGTTTTTATCCTGTGACACAGCGTAAGTCAAATATTAGCACAAAATTAGCTTAGGCATTGTTTTCACAAGCATGTTGTTGCAAAATTCTGTGCTTTATTGGATGATGTTGAAGCAGCCCCCTTCTTAGATACAAAATTTGTGTTGCATGGCTCTTGCACTTAGACGCACACGGGCTTGTGTCGTCATTATGTTTAAAATAAATTATGGTGCTTCCTTACGTCTAAACAATTAGAGATAAATATAAAGGTGTTTACAAGGAGTCACAGATTTTTCTACTTTTATTGCGTAGGTGATGGCTAAGGTGATGGAGATGTACCAGCCCAGTGCTGTGGTTCTTCAGTGTGGTGCAGACTCTCTCTCAGGAGACCGCCTCGGCTGCTTTAACCTCACCATCCGAGGTAAACATACACAGTACAGTAATGCTGAATGATGTAATAAAGTGATGTCACAAACCATACTGAATGTCTTGCATTTTGTGTGTTTTTCCTGGGTTTTTTAATCCTAAAAGGGCATGCCAAATGTGTGGAATACATCAAGTCCTTCAACCTGCCACTGCTCATGCTGGGTGGAGGAGGATACACCATTCGAAATGTGGCCCGATGCTGGACCTATGAGACAGCTGTGGCTCTGGACACTGACATCCCTGACGGTTAGTCATTTTTTCCATGTCAG